TTTTTTTTTATTTTGTGTCAATTTCCATATAAAATTAAAAAGATTTAAATAATTTTTCACTTAAATTGCTTTTGTGAAATTGGCTGTAAATTTGATTTTGGTTTATTTTGTTTTCTCGAATTTTGCTCCGTATATCCAAGAGTGTCTGTGTTAATTTTTTGATTGATGCCTCTCGTGTTTATATTCATCTAGTCGTGTTATCTTATTTCGCAGCGCTCATTTTTTGTTTGTTCTGTCAACGTAAAATGTATGACAGAATCTACATAATTAATTAAAGCGTATGTTTGTTTATATCAATGAAGTTCGGAGATAACAATGTACAACGACTATTAAAAATATGTATATGTGCATAAAATATAAATTATTATTATTTTTTTTTTCGAAAGGCCACTTCTGGAAGGCCACCGTTATAAACCTTAGAGGACTTAATAAACTAATTAATATTAAATAGAATAAATATATAAATAAAAGGTAAAACATTTATAAAAAGTAGATAAATACCTAAAAAGTAGATAAAAAAATAAAAAGTAGACAAAAAAATAAAAAGTAGATAAAAAAATAAAAAGTAGATAAAAAAATAAAAAGTAGATAAAAAAAATAAAAAGTAGATAAAAAAATAAAAAGTAGATAAAAAAATAAAAAGTAGATAAAAAAAATAAAAAGTAGATAAAAAAATAAAAAGTAGATAAAAAAATAAAAAGTACATAAAAAAATAAAAAGTAGATAAAAAAATAAAAAGTAGATACAAAAATAAATGGTTGGAAAAAAATAAAAGGTAGATTAAAAAATAAATGGTAGATAATAAATAAAAAGTAGATAAAAAAATAAAAAGTAGATAAAAAAAATAAAAAGTAGATAAAAAAATAAAAAGTAGATAAAAAAATAAAAAGTAGATAAAAAAAATAAAAAGTAGATAAACAAATAAATGGTAGATAAAAAATAAATGGTAGATGAAAAATAAAAAGTAGATAAAAAAATAAAAAGTAGAAATAAAAAGTAGATAGGTCAATAAAATGTAAATCTTATTAGATTAAACGAGCAATTCGTGTATATACATTAGCGTGGGCCGAAAATCCCCTTTTTTAGAATTCTGATTTGTAATAGCAAAAATATGGTTCACTATGCTCTAAAAACAATCTGTGTGAAATATGACAATTTTTGGTCAATATCTTAGGCTCGCCCAAGTCCATAAAAGTTCAATATGGTCAGAAAATAAAAATTAATAAATAAATTAAGTAATACATTTTTTTACTAAAATTTCAATAATTTTCTAAAGTATTAGTCCTACATAATTAGGTATATGGACCTTTTTTGTAGAGAATCGAAGTTAGCTAAGAAAATTTTTTTTTTAGTACTTGAACTTTAATGGACTTGGGCGAGCCTAGGATATTGACCAAAAACTCACATTTCGCACAGATATTTTTTAGAGCATAATGAACCATATTTTTGCTATTACCAATCAAAATTCTAAAAAAGCGGATTTTCGGCCCACGGTAATATACGTATATGTAATGTATACATATATCCATAGGGTTCTCGGAAACGGCTCTAACGATTTCGATAAAATTTTTTACACAGATAATGTTTTAAATTTTAGGGTTATCTGAATAGGCACTATCTCCGAGAAGACTCGTATAAGGTTGCCACCTATTCGAAATTAGTTGCAAATTAATTAAAACATCATAAGATTGGTATCAAATGGAAGGTATTTTGAAGATCCCTAATTCAAAAATATCTTTAATAGGGTTGCCACTTATTTTAAATCACATATTTATTTAATTTTTTGTTTAGAAAAAAGGGAAAACATTACTATTCATGGGTACTAAGAGAAGGTTCTTAAACAATGCTTTCCCTATATACAATATGTTATCCCTTAGGATAATAGTGTAAGGTTGGCACTTATTTTCGATTCTACACAATTTATCTAAAATATCGCAATATGGATATCAAATGAAAAGTATTGTTAAAAACT